GCAGCAGCTGATCTTCCAAATACCTGTGCAACAATCCCACTTTAGTTCCTCTATCTCCACGGTAAACTTCCGCCATCTTCCGCCGACGCCGACGCCGGAGGCGGCGTATGCGGAAACATATTTCCAAACAGCAAATAATGGGGCCCACGGCACAGAGCAAAGGGAGGAGAAAAGGGCTGAAGAGAATTAAAAATAAATATCTCCTGCCACGATTAATCGAAGATGTGAAGAGCATTGCGATGAATGAAATAGATATCGAAATTGTGCGGTTGGAATACAAGTCTTTGTTTTTGCTTCTGATTCACATTTCCGTGTTGGGTTATTGCTAAATGGGGCGGGGCTTGGGAGTGTGAGCAGGACCAGAATGGACGGAGCGGGAACGGAACGGAACTGAAGTGGGATAAAATTTGTGCTTAAAATTTCACACGGGATCAAATTTCAATTTTAATCATATATTCATATTTGACAACTATTATTTTAAATCTTCTTAATTCTCATACTCATTTAAAACTACATATTTAAACAATAAAATATTTTGTACGTAAACTTACAAATTTTTCCTACCTTTCAACCATACATTCTTTGAAAAATCACCGTTCAAAACTCAATTTTCTCGAAATAATGATTGTCAAACATGGACTTAACGAATTCACAATTTTTATCAAATTTTTAACTGCTAATTTTATCAACTTTTATTAAAATCAATTAAAATTTTTTAAAAACTTTGTCAACAACCGACAACCCCCTTGAAATAAATATATGAAATCATTTTAAATGTGATGATTAATATAATATTAAAATATTTGAATTTAAACCTAACACTTTGATTTATAAAAATTGTGTGCGTCTAATTGACAAATCGACCTACGGTTTGGTCTAGTTGAAGTTAATGGACTAGCTTACCAAAGACACGATTGAAGCTTTAGAGCACCAATCAAAATCCGACATATGTCTTGTTGATCCGGTCGAGTGGACTATAAGTCCATGTTTGGTCCGAATTAAAAATTGATTTTAATTTAAGTGTTAAACAATTAATATTAATCGCATCTTTCATGGTCTATTATCCGTAGAAAAGTTCTAAACTTTTAAATGTTTGTAACTCGTGGATCTTAATAGATGTGCGGTTAACAAAATAGATAAAAAAAGAAAAAAGGATTTCATATAAAATATACGAAGAAACAATAGAATTTAATATTATAAACTTTGCAAAACATACATTTAGCTATACGTGCAAAACTATTTTAAGAAAAGATCGTACTTTTAGCTCCTTTAAATTAAACATGTGAATCATTGTCAACACACCACGTAATACGTTAGGCTCACCTAAGATGTTAGGTGCAACGCAAAAGCAGATTTTTTTTTTTTTAATTTGTATTTTGCTTTAAACTACGTTGTTCTTTTTTATTATTTTAATTATTGACTCGACGTAAGTGTTTATAAAATATAAGCTCGACCATTTAATTGAATCCGATCAAGTTTAGACTTGAGCAGCACGGGATTGATTTGACGATATTGCATGTTTTGTATCGTAAGTATACGATAATATATGGACTTATGAGTCCATATAGTCGCTTTCACAAATACTATTATTCAACTTTTAGTTTATTATCTATAATTTCTATTTGACGAAAACAAATTGTATTCTGCGATGATGATTTAAATTATCCGATTATATTATTTTACCTAAATGCATGCAATCAAATCAACTTAGGGTTTAAACATATGAATGTAGACGTTAGATTTTACAATTTAATTTAATATAGTGATCACCTTTAATTTGCAAATCAAGATTTATTACTATTATAGTATTCGATCGAATTCTTCTTTATTAATCAACTAGTTTTTCCCCCGTGCGTTGCACGGTGCGATGTACAAATTTATATTAAGTGACAAACAATTCTAAT